TGCGTTCTATTTTGCGACGAGCAATTATGTATATACATGTATATACATAATTGCAATTATGTATATACATGTATATACATAATTGCACATCGCAAAACATGTATATACGTGTATATACATAATGTACATATGTATAGCATGTAAATCGGTTGATATCTTAATATTGTTTGTTAATCTGATATTTTAATTTGCTAGGTACCCAATTAACATCGTTAAAAATATTTGCTATTTTGAAGAGGATATTTGTGAAATCTTTATATAGTGACATATCAATTGTAATAATTACAAAAAACAATATGTTTCTTTCGAATTATATTTTGATTATATTATATTAAAGTTATATATTAACTCATATTAAGTTGATTAATTCGCAATGACATATGTTTGACATATAAAAATCAATCCAAGAAATCTTGCAAATATTTATTAATAAATAATTAAATCCGATTGGAATATAATGTCATTATTTGAATAACATTTGAAAAATATAATATTTGATTTATAATATAGAGTAGAGAAGGAAATTTACTGCTCGGAATTGTTAAGTGCACATTTATGCGATATCATGGTTGCTCGAGCGCTTGGCTTTTTAGCGTACTAATCGAATTGTTTGTGCAGCGTATAGTTTGTTATGAAACGTATTTATAATTTTGAACGTCATTGGAGAATTATTAGGTTTCTTTTATAAAATAAAAAGAAATTAAAAAATTGTTTACATTTTATTTTTTTTGCTTATTTTAACTATATATAGCATGTCTCTTTCTTTTATATTATACTCTAATATAATGCACAATTTTTTAAATATCTATTATATTACAAATTTTAATATTTTATAATATACATTAATATTATAATTATTATATATATATATATATATATATATATATATATATATATTAATATTAATGTTGATTTTTTATACGTATTACAGTTTTCTTAATTCTTAATAATATTACAGTTTTCTCAATTCTTAATAATAAAGGATTTACATATTCGTATCTTCGAATTACGAATTAAAAGCTAAAAGTAGTTGATAAATTATATATTTTCTTTAAATTGATTAAATTATTTATTATTTATGCATTCCTGATCTTGAAAAGATGTTTACTAAAAATGTTACTAGAAAGTAGAAGGAATCGAGTTGACCTAAAACTGCAGCTTTCAATGCCGTATATGATCATATTTGATTTCTCTGAATAAAATGCATTTGTATCGAGGCAGATATTCTTAAAATCTAATTTACATTGAAAGGCATGATATTTATAGAGATATAAGAAAAAAGTTTGCTTTATTAATATACGTTATCGCTGATAAGTTAATTTTAACATATCTGTTGCATATTTCAAAAATTTTCAGAAGAACTATTTTAAACATTTAATTTAATACATATAATAAAAAGGGTCAATAAAGATTTCTTTTCGTATGCAATAATTTCATCCAGGTTTCATTAAAATAAAAGAATTTTTTATTTCGTTATATACTTTTCTACGTATTTACATTGTAATTGCATTTAAAAATAAAAATAAAATATACATTTAAAAATAAAATTATTTGGATTTTACTTAAAAATAAATAATAGCAGTCGGTTTAATTAAGCGCTAAGCTTCGATGTTGATTTTAGCGAGTCATGATTCTCCCGAAAGTCACGTCAAGAATATTGCCGATGTTGTAAGCGGAGTTAAGTACGGCTGTTGTGAACTACTTCCGTGTATCTTTATTAATGCCTAGAAATGCGACAGAAAGGAGATCGTTCTTTAGATGACCAGGGTGGTTTTTGTGTCTGCACGGGTAAATATTAGCGGAGGATGATGAGAGTATCACCATTCGTTCTTTCTTCCATTCTCCTTCTTCTTTTCAACGACGCGTATACCCACCTTCTTCGTCGCTCAGGCGGGATTCATTCCATCATTCTAGAAAGGAGGCTTTTACCTGTCCTCTTCAAACTGACGGATCTCACCAAAAATTTACTCTAATATTGTCTCCATTCAAGTATATACTCTTGGCGCCTTCTCTTCCGCATAATAGACATCGTCGATTGAAAACTGCATACTCGTTATGAGAATCGAATCTAATCTCTGCTGTTTCAATGTAAATTTTTGTCGATAATTGAATATTTATAAGCTCATACACTGACTTATATGCTGCTAATCAATGTATTGTATCATTGTATCAGAGAAAACAAGAAAAACTTAAACCATTTCACAAAGTTTCTATAGGCATTTAATATTTTGTCTGTAAATTTACGTATATAAAAATTTTTTCTCCTTATTTGTATATTGATTTTTTTTATTATTTTTAATTAGTTTGTTGATTTTTAATTATTTTTGCAAAATATTTTTGTGTGTAGAGATTGCCTTTCTGTTGGCAAAAGCTCTATAACATTAATAACATTAAGGTTGTCTTTACTCACATATACTGTTTTGCTCAATAAAGTGCATGATACATGTCTAGGCCTGTCCCCACGGGTACACCTGTCTCATGAATAGCGTTCAACATCGATGAAGATCGTGCGATTGAGTACTGTAGTCCAAAATTAACTCCGATGTACGGAAAGTACGGAATACAGTGTAGTGACGTCACAAACGACGTAGAACCTGGTTTAGTGTGGTTCCTCATTTCAAATAGATCGAATAGAAGTACATCAGCACCTTAATACACATACTAACACATTATTATTCACACAGTCTGCCATTCAAGGACAACTCGGTTTGATCGTAACGTTTCGATAGATAGAATAATTTTCCATAAAGGGATATATGCATCTATTATACATGTAAAAATATTTATTATTAGCATATATTATACCTCCTTTTAAATACTTTTTTATTCCGTTATATTTTTGCTAAACATTAATCGCATATTTTAGAAAAGTCTGAGAAAAATTACTTTATGCAATTCTAAATACATACATATATATATATATATATATATATATATATATATATATATATAATTCCGTTATATAGATAAATTTCAAACATCTGCTCAGATAACAAAGGCACAAATTTAGCAGCAGTGTCTTGGCTTGCATTTGATCTCAATTAGTCTTTTGATGTTCATGACATCACGGGTTCGCGATATTCCACTCATTACTTCGTGTAATGGGGTTAATTTTGGGGCTAAGGTCTGTCGCACATTCACGTCAAAGCGAAGGAAAGGATACGCTAACAGAAGCTTTGTGTGCAGTGACTGCTGTCAGGTACGATTGCTACGATTGCACTGGATACGTGGAACGCATTTTCTAAAATCGTCCATCAGCTAGATCGATATACAGTCAAACTAATCCAACGAAATTTTCATGTTTAGAAAATGCATGCTCAGCATATCAATTGCATAATTTCAAGAGAGAGCAATAGTTAATAAAAATAATAATAATAACAATTATTTAAATGTGTAGAATGTTATCACTTTAATTTCATTACTCTAGCAGATTATTATATAAATTGTATATTTATTATTATTTTTCCGTTTAATGCAAAAATTAATCATGTAATATCATAATGTACAATTTCGTTAAAACGTTTCAATAGTACGAATAATGTACAATTACATTTAAACGTTTCAATAATACAAGTACACAGATAATCATGGATAATGCTGGAATTTAGGCAAATAAATTCGGATTGATCTATTTTAATGATAGTTCCCGAGACTTATCTAATCGCTAGTTCACTCTCGTTGTTCTTCTGTATTCACGAAGTTGGTTGGTTGCCGCTCATCTGTAACAGAAGTTTCCCAGCGCAAACTTGCCTTTGACAAACTATGAAGTGTCAACGGATTAGCGAGCAGCCGATATGCCGCATAATTCAAAAGAGAAGACACAGCTGCGAGGAATATAAGTTTACGCGGCAAGCATGTAAGGCTATTTGCGGTTATTACACCCGCTTTTAATAAAAAAAACTCATATTATATAACTTGATAATAGTTTTATAAGGAAACTTACGCTGTTGCAAATAGTGGCCCGATTCTCACAATTTCGTACTGCCCCCACGAACAATATTCTTACGTAGAAAACTTCATCTATGTCTCGCTTGCAACAAAGTTATTATTAGCAAAGAAAAATGTGTACAATCTCAAGTTTGAAAAAAGCTCGTCCCAAAGATATAAATATGTTATAAACTTAATCGTATTTTTTTGTATGAGATAATATCTTTCTTAAAATATCTTTCTATTTATTATTACCTGATGTCTAAATAAAACAGAAGACATTTCAAAACACGTGCATATAAGATAACGGTATCCGAGACAGAAATGTTTCGTAGCAAATAATTAATGTAATCGATATGTCTTCTTGTTTCGTATATAACCGCAAACTTTAATCAAACCTTGGGTATCAAATTGGTTTACAAATAGTTTTAATCGCATATGTCATTGATTACTTTTATATGTTACATTTTTCCAGTCGATTATATTTTAGTTATTATTTTTAGAAAAGAGAAAAGAGAAAAAATTAAATATAATTGAACCTTACATTATAATACGAAATTAATTTGCGCAATGAAATATTTGAATTGGAACATATTTGGATAATTGAAAATCGGTATTAATAATCCTGAATAATTGCGGAGATTAATATATAATATAAAGATTACATTTTGAAAATAATATAAATTTAATCCAAGAAAGTGAACAACATGATTCGTAGAATTCATCGTATTTTTTTCCTCAATCAGCATATAAATATGTATTTTGCAATGCATTGTGGCGATTAAATTCATCAAAATTACAATAGATTTCAAATCTTTCACTCGCGATCTATCACGCAGATCCATCGCAATCGAGTAGCTCCCTGTTAATCGGGGTACTTTAGCGGCGCCGCGAGTCGCCGATGATTATAATGATAGGAAAGTAGGTGAATTGATAATGATTCCATGAGAAACGATTCATCCCCCTGCACGAAGAGTGCTCCTGCGCACGCGTGCGTCGAGAATGGGGTTGACGACGGTGCACGGCGTCGCGACGCTCACCGGCGCTCACTTGAATTCTCGCCGCGTGTTCGTCGGGCGATTCGCCTTGAAAGATCGCGTCCGAGAACGACGGAGGTAGGAAGTCCGTACCTGGACCGGAAGGCAGAGGCTCGCGGCACGGACACATCGATCGTAAATCGATGCTTCGTGAAATACAATTGTCGTCGCAACGATCAGTCGCAGAAACATTGTCGCACATGACTTGTCAATACAACAAAAATAACTTTCTTGTCGCGATCGTCTGAATCTGTCTCGCGCGAATACGTAATGCGGCGCACGAAGGAGAGCGAAGGAGAGCAGCGCAGTGAAAGCGGTCCGACCGGGGTCAGCCGTAGGGATGTCGCGCGCGAAAATGTCTCGGTGGATCATGTGTCCGGTGTGATTTAATTCAACAAGGTCAACCCTTCAGATTCTGACATTTCCGTCGGACAACATCGAGTCGACCGCGACTTATCGTCAAGGACTATCGCGCGTAAGATCGTTGAACGCAGATTACGGTCTAGGACGATCGAATCGATTGAAGTGCACGCGGCGGAATCCTGCGACGGAATTACGATATTTAACGAGTATAGATACGGAATCGCTCGAGGACGATCGAGAGTAAATACCAAGGTTCAAGATCCCACCTAAACTCCTTGTAAACGTCGAGTGTCGATTGACTCTGTTGAATAATCGATGTACCAATGTCGCGAAATAATCCACGGCAGCCGTCGGTCGTCGCGCTGTCAGGTGACAGTCGTCGCGTGCCGATCGGAGAACTTGGTGCCGACGCATGCACGGAAGATGGAAGTAAGAACTCGCGTTCGTGCGTCCACGTGGAGTACTAAGGACTGAAGTTTCGGAGTTCCGGTGGCCTAACTTCGGCACTGTCCTCCAGACGGAGGGCGCGCGAGGTGAGACTATCACTTGGTTACTTGTTGCCGTGCGTTTCGAGGGTATATTTGATTGATCGATTATAGAGGAATTTCGTTTGTATATCCATGTCTTATCATCAAAGAGAAAAAAATTAACATTATAACCTTTTTAATCTTTTTTTCCCCCTTTTTCTCTGTATTGAAATATATTATTCTGAAACTTATCATATATCTTTTTCACACGTAAATAATTACACAACAAAATTAACATCAAATAGTTTTAATATAAGTTTAAGATAAAAGAAACGCGAACGATTCAACCAAGCGCATTTAAAATTCTTTCTAATTTTATATATGTATATATTGCATTTATATGTATCTTGAAGAGTGAAAAATATAAATCTTAATTTATATTTTGCTTTTGAGGACGATAAATTGAATACAAGCATTTTTTCTTGTTATAAGCATTTTTTTTAGAAAGTGTATCGAAGATTGCATCATATATATGAACTTATCATTCAGAATTAATAAATAAATTACTCAAAAGTTTTTACTTTGGTTGGGTACATATTTACGTTATGCAATACTAAAGGAAAAGTAGAAGTTTTAAATTATATTTTCAACAATTATTTGAAATGCTTACAATACAAGTTAGCCGTTAGAAATGTATATAATATTTAATCCAGAATTTAATAAGTGCCATGTCCAATCATTATTCGCAATTGAGTTTCCAGTTTGTCGCCACTCTATAATTCATCATGTTGTTCCGTTTCATTTTGCTCGTATTGCAAGTCATGTTATAAAAAATATAAATTAGCTATCGATGCAATATGACAATCTTATCTCATATTTTAATCGAGTTCATTTTACAAATATGCAACGCAACAAATAAATATATGCGCAGTCGAAAGAATATTTGAAGCACTTTTCTCAAAACACAAATATCTCTTTCTCTTTCATTGGGGATTTTTTCTATTAAAACATTTAAGCAATATATAATCTTACGATAATAAAATAAATATATTATATTATATAAATATAAATATAAATAAATATAATAAATAAATAAGAAATCATAAGATGATTATATCTTTTTAGCTCTTTTTTAAAATTAAAAGAGAGCTAAAAAGATATAATAATCTTATTGATCTTTTTAAATCAAACTATCTAGAAAAAATTTAGATTATTCTATTAAAAATGAAAATAATTAATTGCTATATGATATAAATTGCACATGGTTTATTGTGTGCATCTATATATTTTTTTAAATTTTTTATTTTAATTTAAATTTTTTGTGTTATTTGTTACTCCTTACTATTGAATATTCATTATATTTGTCTGATCTGATTTGTTACTCCTTACTATGAATGCTGCATTATATTTGTCTGAGCTGTGCATTCAATATCAACGGAGGAAACGAATTATATAGACTAACGCTAAATGTGTGATGAAATTGTGTGACGGTTCGTTTTTAACTATCTGCAAGAATTGCAGTCTCACACGATCTCGCAACAGCCCTCGATGTAAACGAACTCTAGATCGCTTTATTCTGCTCGACCAGGCGGCATCGAGGTCGTGAGTGACAGGTCGAGCGAGTTTCGAACGGGAAAAAAGAGAATCTCTGGCAAAATATGGCTGTCGCGATTGTCCTATGAAGAGACATTATCGGATCTTTTTTCCTTTTCCTTTTTTTATTCGATGCAATTGGCCCTGACCTATGATTGACTGATCGACAGAACCAGAAAAATGCGATGATAATCGGCATGTCGTTCAATTGTTGTGTCGCCTATTATTATTTATGCGAAGTCATTTCCAGAACAACGAAATCTAATTTGTATGTTTGTCATATTTTAATTTTGCTTTTCACTAACGTTTTATAATCGCCATCAGATAGATTCGTTTTTCGTGATTTCATAGATTTATTGTATAGATGGAAGTGATATGTGTGGAAGTGATAAGTGATATTATGACAGTGATCGAGACATTAAATATGACTCTTATTTTTGTAAATATATTAATATATGTGTGTAATAGATATGATGTGTAGATATGACGTTTGATAATATAATTTTATGATATTAGATTCGCAAATAAATATACAAATATAAATAAATATACAAATATGTGTTGCAGACGATATCTTTCTTCATCTCTCTCAAGTATTATATTCTTTGCTTTATTTAATCAACAACTGTCAATAAACGAAAGGTACATGTATGAGGGTTTATCGAAGAGTGATTGCGTGTGTCGAAGGATTCTTGTTAGCGTGTCCTTTGCTCGCCTTTGGTAGGACGATCGATAAATATCGATTAGCTTGTACTTTGTGGATACATAAACCTACACATATATTTTCTTGTCACGGCCATTTCGCACGATGAGTGCTCATGATTCGAGAGAAAAGAAAAGTTATTTTTCTGATAATATAATAAGATTATGAATAAAATCAATAACATTGTATTCAGCAGCATCTATAAACACAGAGATATTTTTAGGAAAGTATATGTATTAAAATATTATTTTATATTCGTTTCTATTTTGAACTTAAATTTTTGAACTTAATTTTTTAAAATAAGATATATTATATTTTAAATAAGTTATATTATTAAAAATAGATTGAGAGAATATGTTAATGTAACTTTTAAATTGTAAAAAATTTTCAATTTTTTTGAAAATTTTTTTTAGATAATAATAATTTGTTTTATTTTAAACTTTTTTATTTCTTTTTTGAAAAATGTCATGTCGATATAATCATTTAATTGGATTTGATTGTAAACTGCTACATAGTGCAAAAATCGGAATGCGATTAATCTTTTATTCATGATGCGTACGTGTCGCGAAATATATTAAGAACAAAAAATTCATATCTCTAGAAACATTTGCACACTTTTGCGTATAGATGATTCAATAAAATCCGCTATTAAACTGTTTCATTGACTATTCTGTATTTCAAATATTTCAACGTTTATGATGCTGAAAATTTTTATCCGATATATATGATAGCAATATATGATTTATGATAATAATATGACTGCATGTACAACACGTACAACATGTAGCTAGCAAAATATAAAACGCTTCTATACTTCTATAATGTATTAATATCTAGATATTAACAATCAAATTAAATTGCGTATTTTATATACAAAAACAATAATATTTATTAAACAAGTTTTTGTAATAACAAATATATATAATTAAAGAAGTTAATTGTAATTAGGCTTAATATATTAGGATTAATTGTCTCACTTTAATATTCGGCTCTTTGCCTTAATAAAGAAATATACTTTTATTAAAACTGTCAGAATATCTAATATTGAAAATGTCAATAATTTCTCAAAAGCGATGATTATCCACTAAATTTTCATTAATCGAAATTTATTGCAAAATTAACAAGTAAAACAGATAGAGCAATTTACAAACACCTTATCTATGTTTATTATTAAATACCAGTGCATTTATTACGCCACTTATGTACATACGTACGGTATTCTCATCCTCATCCTATCATTAAAATATAACGAGCATTGTAAAGCAATCCGAATTCATTTGAAACATTCCTCATATTGTCATAGCTTATTCTTGGCAATAATTATACTGGAGATACGTATATACTCGAAGTGATTTGATTTCAAATAAATATTTCTTACGGACGATATGTTTGTAGAATGATTACCGATGTTGTTAACCGTGCCATGTGTGTAAAATATTAAAACATTATTTACATTTCAATTTAATCGGACTGCGCACTGACAGAGTTATTAATATTATATGTGATGGTTAACTGGCGGTTTAAATATTCATCGATACTCGCACAGTACAAAGTGCTCGCAGAGCTATGAGGAATACAAGGATGAGTATCTTTGTGCGGAAATATATGAATACAGAGGACAAGCAACCGCGAGCTGTTAATTTCGCGAATTCCGCGTTTAACGTGGCGTATTTCTCATACGAGATGAGAATGATGAATAAATGCTGCAGCAACTCCAGGCTAGGCATATAAATTAAATAGTAATGAGGTCAGTAGTAGTACATCTTCTTTTGTTTTGTATGTTTAACTTATTGGTGCTAAATATACAAGAAATGATATACAAGAAAATATATAAGAAGCATTTTATATCATGAAACAAATATGTAAATCACGAGTATGTTTTGAATTATATTATATAAGATATTGTACACATATAAAATTATAAATTTAAATAAATAAAATTAAAAATTTTTTTACAGTGATATGATATATTTTTATAATCATAAACATAATTTTGCATTCTTGTTAAGATGATGATATTAATTAAAATTATAGAAAGTATGTAATTTTTATTGCAAAAACTTAGTTATTTAGTCTCTAAAAATGGAAACATTAGAAAAAGTTGGATTTCAATGTATAAATTAAATTTTTGATATTAATGTTATTATACAATTAGTTTCTACTTCCTCTTACAAATGTTTAAATATCCTTTTAATTTTTTTACGATATTTTTTACAATAAGTTATTTTTTTAACGTTCAATTTTTTATCAATACAAGTGAAATAAAAAGAAGAAGAGATGGAAAAGGAGAAAATGAAAAATATTTCAAATCTATCACTGACTCCGAATATTAAAGTGAGATTCTGAATATACCTTTCTATATTTACTTATATTTTCGTGAGTATTCAATGCTCTCAATTGAATCGAAGTTTTTCTCACTAGGATTAACAATTGGCGTAGCTGACGAGCAACGTAAGGGAAAAATCGATGTACACGAGCAAAAATTTTCGTGTCTTGGTAATCCTTGCGATTATTTTTCAACGAAAAAAAAACATCGACGAGAAGCTGAATAAAAGATTGACGGATTTTCGAAATATAATTATGAGCGGCTCTATCGAGCGTATCGCCCGAATTTGTTTCGCGCGGGTACATTTGCCGTGAAAAAAATCTAAGGAAATAATTACGATTACCTCGATATGCGAAGGCACATTTCGCGAACTGGACGATAACGAGCACGAGAGGCGCCGGCGTACACGCCACCCTTCGTGAATCGCGTTTAATCCAATACGGG